CCCCCTGCCCCCCCCCTCGGACCCCCTGCCCAGCCTCCTCTCCTCTCTTCCCTTCTCTTCTCCTCTCCTCCCCTCCCCTCCCTTCTCTTCTCTTCTCTTCTCCTCTCCTCCCCTCCCCCCTCCTCTCCCCCCCCCCCCCCTCTCCTCCCCTCCCCTCCCTTCTCTTCTCTTCTCTTCTCCTCTCCTCTCCTCTCCTCACCTCTTCTCTCGTCTCCCCTCCTTGTAGCAGGCTGAGAGCCTTTTTTTCAATGTTTTTGGCACCCTCTGTCTCTGGCTCTCACTTCTACCTTCCCACACACAGATTAGCAGGGTAGCAGTCAGAAAGAATGGCATTTCAAAGCGCTCCTCCGGCCTCCTATAGTTCCCTTCAGTCACTGAGGCACTTAGCTCCCACACACCGCCAATAATAGAGCTGCCATTTTAACATCTGTTCAACCGGTGTGTTGCATAATATAGTAAATCATTGAGCTTTCGAAAAAATAAAAAAAAAATAAAAAAGAGACGCTCCAACATTTATCTGTTATGTAACTTGACACTTTTGAAGATCAGCCACATGATTGATTTTTGTGTGTGTGTGTGTGTGTGTGTCGCCCACTTCATTCCACTCAGAAGCAGACCACTCCAGAGGCTTTGTGAAAGTGCTTCTATATTTACCAGGTCTACACAGGGACTAACTTTGTCTTTTCACTTTTGTGTCCAGGCTCTCTGCGGTTGCACAGTCAACGTGCCCACGCTCGACAACAGGATGATGCCTCTGCCCTGTAGTGATGTCATCAAACCCGGTGCTGTCCGGCGGCTGAGAGGCGAAGGTTTGCCTCTGCCCAAGAGTCCGTCTCAGCGCGGCGACCTGGTGGTGGAGTTCCAGGTGCTCTTCCCCGACAGGATCCCACCGCAGTCCCGCGAGATCATCAAGCACAGTCTGGCCAAGTGCTAATTCGCCTTAACAGCACGACTGACGCGGCTCCGATGCGAGCGTGCGATGTCATCGATTCACAGATATAGCCTTGTCACGAGGTGCTTTTTATGACAACCGACCATAACCTCCAGGGCTGGAGCGAGCTGTGGTTCAGGCAGGACTTTGTGACTGTCTGCAGGTGTTACGTGTGATGTCACATGAGAACTGAGTTCTGCAGTGATGAATAGAGTCTTTGGTATCTAAGGGCATACACTGACCGAAAAGCCTTTCACTTGAAGGAAAAGCTTCTCTGTACCGTTATACCTGCAGACCAACGGCAGGATGTCAGTGTGGTATTCGAGTCTGTATAGACTTCTTTAACCTGAACGGTGAAAACGTGAAGAAAACGTTATATGGTTTTCATATGACTAATCCTTTACAGTGATTTTGTTACAATAGCATAATGAACTTGTGTACAAAGATCTACTTTGTGTACAAAATACAAGAACTTTGTCTCTAAGAGAGATTCCTGTGTCAAATGTTCTATTGAATTATTACCAGGTTTATATACTGCAGATGGTTGAACAGCCGAGTGTCTATGTATCGTTATCTTATACCGACTTGTTTAGAAGCATGAAAAAAATAAAAATAAAAGCAAAATTTTGACCTTGGTTGAATGTCTTCTTTTGTGGTGATACGGTACGATACAATACCATACGATATGATACGATACAACACGATACGATACAATACCATACTATACCATACCATACCATACTGATACCATACCATACGATACAATACCATACGATATGATACGATACAACACGATACGATACAATACCATACGATACAATACCATACTATACCATACCATACCATACCATGCCATACCATACTATACTATCCCATACCATACCATCCCATACCATACTATACCATACAAAACTATACCATACTATACCATACAATACTATACCATACCATACTATAACATAACATACCATACCATACCAGACTATACCATAACATACTATATCATACACTACAATACTATACTATACCATACCATACCATCCCATCCTATACCATACCATACCATGCCATACCATACTATACTATCCCATACCATACCATCCCATCCTATACCATACCATACCAGACTATACCATAACATACTATATCATACACTACAATACTATACTATACCATACTATACTATCCCATACCATACCATCCCATCCTATACCATACCATACCAGACTATACCATAACATACTATATCATACACTACAATACTATACTATACCATACTATACTATACCATACTATACTATACCATACTATACTATCCCATACCATACCATAAGATAAGATAAGATACAATATGATACGACACGATACGATACACAACCTAACATAACATAAAGTCTGTATACTATCACATGTATGTGAAATACTGCCAATCAACTGGAACAATGAAACTAGTCAGATGTGCAATCTGAATGACAGATGGGTTTCGAGGCGAGTTAAGACTACATTAGGGATCAGCTCTCTGCTCCCACTGTTGTTGTTTGTAACGATGGTGGACATATGATTTTAGTTAGCAGCGGCCACAAACTTTCACCCCAGAACCTTTAGTAGTTGACAGAGCTCTGAGACAACAGGAGAGATGGTCCTGGAGAAGGAAGAATATAAGGTCCTCAAGAAGCATGACAGCACACATCTGGGTGAGAATGGGTGAGACGGGTGAGGCTGAAAGTGACACTGAGAGTGGTGAATGGAGATCAGTTGGGCCTTGAAATTTCACAAAAGTTTGAAAATAGTAGGCGAGCAGAATTATGTAAGTGAAGTCAGGGTCGACGTGTGAAAGAAAGACAGCAGGAAAAGACGAGACTCTGGGCAGGAAGGGTAAAAGTTGAAGATACTGAGAACTCTGTGTACTGTGAGTGATGATGATGATGATGATGATGATGAACAGGATTAGAACTCAGTCTTTTTAGGCCGAGTTCTAATCAGCTAAGCAGGTTTTAGAACCAAGGATGACAGGGTTTGGACATGTGCCGAGAAAAGGTGGTGGATATTTGGACAAAGATATTGGAGACCGAGCTGCCAGGCAGGAGGAAAGAGCGATTATCCCAAGAAGAGTCAGGATAAAAATAAAGACGGTTGGTAAAACAGTGGAGCAGTGGATGGCAGGAGGTAGATAATCCACCGAAGAAGTATATAAAAAAATAGTATATTCTTTCAGACAGGTTGACATTGAAGTGACCCAGTATTTTTTATATATAGAGAGAGTTAATTTTGCACATCGTCTTTTCCGCACCAAATGTCAGACATTACGATGCATAAAATATTAACAATTCAGAGCATGAAAACCACCTGGGCATCACTGCAGAGCTGACAAGAAATGCGGCATAAATCTCGGCCTCTGCTGCCACCTGGCGGCGATCAGACGTAATAACGGATAATAGGACACACCTGTTGACGTACCATGGCTACGGCTGAGCCGCACGGGTCTCCGATGAAGCCTTGTCTTTGACACCAGGCTGACAGGGAGTCCATCATGGTGCACGGAGACGTGTTGAAGACAGCAGTCACAGGTGGAGGCTGGATGTCTACGAGGAGCAGACAGACAAGTCTACTGTCACACTCAGATCACTCCACATTGATTGACACATCAGACCAGCTGCGCATGCAGAGCCAAAGACAAACCTGAGCTGAGATCAGCAATCCTGCAAAAAATCTTCTTCTTTTCATGTCCTCTGCAAATGAAATGTCGCAGACAAGCCCGAGCGGGTCGTCATTAGGTGGGGCAGAAGGTTACCCCGTGTCCACCCTGACCGTGGTCGTCCTTCTGCTCATACCCTGCGTGGTCATCCTGCTCCTGCTCAACTGCCTCTTCCTGGGCTACAAGTTACTGATCTTGTCAAAGAGGCGAGAGCGGGTGGACGCTGAGGAGATGCTCCTGCACTCCACCATTCCAAGAGTCAGGAGAACTTCAGACATGGCCTTCCCCTCGCCGCTGCAGGACGGCAGGAGAGTGTACGTGTCAGTGTCCGAGCCTGTGCTGCCGCATCCCGTCACATCGTCACGAGCCTCGTCCAGGGACAGGCCCGGACTGGATCACAGGATCCGGCTCCTCAGGCCAGATGGAGCCACCGGTTCAGGGTCCCTGAGGGCGCCGAGTACCATCCGGGCCACTTCACCTGCAGCTGGGTTCAGCCCTAGGCTGGATCCGTCCTCTAGGTCACGGACCTGTAGCCTAGGTAGGGCCGCCTGGTGCAGGAGCGCTCCAATTCTACCGCAGTACAGCGACTCAGAGGCCGAAACCAGAGTCAACCTCGTTCCGCCAAACTCTCCCACAGTGAGTGATCAATAACAGCATTTTTTTCTGTACTGCCACCTAGTTTGACATAGCAGTAACGACCAGCAACATGGTCGAATAATGAGCTGATAGTCGAGGGGTAAAGGACAAATCCAAGTTGTCTCTCTGTTTAAGTTTGCTTAAACACAGCCTGTCATCATTAAGACCATGCTTCCACATGATAACATGCTTAAAATATCACTACAAGTGCCGTGCAACATGAGCTGGCAGTGTTAAACTGCCAAGGCTAAAACTGATCTGACAGGTGGACTGATGTTTGGTCTGCCTACTCAAATGAAGGCCCGAGGGCCACATCTGGCTCAGACACTATTTCAGATTGGCCTAAGTCTAAAAGATTATTGAAAATCACCAGTTTAACATTGCATGAATTTTTTTTCTCTTTTTCACTAGGCTCCAAGTACAGGAGTTTATTTGCAGTGAGTGTGTTGGGAAATGTCTTTGCATTTTTCTCATATATTTTGGTCCATAAGAAATGACCTCCTGTTTATACGCCACAGAAAACGTCCAGTCCAGCTACATTTGTTGGTTTGTGAATCACTCCTGTAGCAGCGCTGCAGTATTCTCAACCAAACACAACAAACACTTCAGCTTCAACCACATGATTTATCCAGATGAAAACTTCCTCCAAATGCAAACAGTAATGATTTACATCACAACTGAACTGTCAGCGTGGGATGTTGATAAAACGATGACTTCTGTGAACCAGCCTCCACCATCGGGCATACTGATGATCTTGACTCCACATCCAAAGTGAGAACAGTTGATTTATTCCCTTTGTTCACAGCAGGAGATGGAACACGTGGGTTACATTTGTCAGAGGAGTAATTACGACGCGCTGACAGACGCGAACCAATCTGCCGCCGTGCGCGGGTTCGACAAAGCAGACGTGGAGTGTGAATACATCGACGCGCCTTCAGAGACGTCCTGTCTGAACACTTCTGCAGCAGGACCTGGACTTGACAGCGACTTTGGTGCGAGTGCAGGTACAGTCTGATTCAGGTACAGTCTGACATCAGTACGTCTTTCATAAGTGACGAATCAAGACGAAACATCTTGATAACATGAAAATGAAATGTTTGAAGTAGTCGATAAAGAACCAGAGGGGGATCTTTATGGTTTATGTTGCATTAATTCATTCCTATATTGGTCTAAAATCTCCTTTTACTTTATTAATTCAGGTTAATTGAATTATATACATCTACTAATGTAAGTTTTCATGGCACTTTCAGTCAAAAATAACATTTCTAAAATAAATAAATAGAAAATTGTAATAAACCATGGATCTGGTAGTTTACAACAATTTTCTTTTTCTAACCAAACATTACAGATAAATGATAAAATAAAGTTCAAAGCCGCGTCTCTCTTCAGGTGTCTCCCTGAGGATCCTGTCGGCAGACAGCGACGGTCTGTCCAACGGTGTCCTGGCCTCAGCTCTGGAGTGGGATTACTACGACCCCTGCTACGTCAAACAGAATCATGTGCCCAAACACAAACACCACAGACCTGTGATGCACACGAAACAGTACTGGGTCTGAGTGGAGGGACTTATTTTAATGTTTATTCATATTTATTTTTAAAATCCTAATTTAAATTTACTTACTTGCACAAAGATGTTTCGATATTTATGTCCCACGACACTGATTATTTTCACAATATTTTTATGTATTTCATATTTTTTGTATTGTTCCACTTTGAGAGATGTTTATAGACACATTAAGTTAACTTGAACCTTCACTAATTTGATGCACTGTTCACTCACAACCTTTGACTTTATGGAAATTTTCACAATGCTGTTTAGGATGTTCTTGATTTATGGGGGGGAAAAAATCACATTGATTTCTAGTCACGCCTGTTTTTTGATTCACACTAATAAAATAATTTAAAACCAAACATATGGATTACATCGGCCTTTATTTTATGGTCTGCGGCAGAAAAATAACTGCCACTGCCTTATAGGTACATATTTAAAAATCCGATTTTAAGGACTAAATATTTAGTGCTGATGTAACTTGATTGTTTCATTTCTAATTTTTTTAAATAACTATTTCCAACATTTTTTGATATAGATGAGTTGTTTCATTTCTAATTTTTTTTTTAAATAACTATTTCCAACATTTCATGATATAGATGAGTTGTTTCATTTCTATTTTTTTTTTCAAATAACTATTTCCAACATTTAGAGAGAGTAGAACAATCACTAGGCGAAAAGGAAATATAAAATAAAATATAAAAAACAAATTAGTCACCAGGAGGCATAGGTTTGAATACTTTATTCTCTGTTGGGAGATATCTGTATCTGTACATTGAAGATCAAGTGCCACTTGAATTGTTTTGTCTTTTATTGTTAGACTTTGTAGAAACTAAAACTGACACTGCACAAAGCAAACATGACGACGACCTGACGAAGATCCAGACTCTACTCAAAGCTGGAGAGGAAGTTCAACACAACCTGCTTGAGCTTGGCGTCGGATGCTTCTGAGATTTTACCGTCAGCCCTGCAATGAAGCACAGATACAATTTAAAAAAAAAACGTATTAACTGTCCTGCCATGTTCATCAACTGACATTCGACATTTTTTCCTCTTTAAATGCATTACAAACTAACCTGATTAATTTCATATATTCATTAAATTAATGCATTAATTTTGACAGCACTAGTTCAACACGTGTGTGTTTGTATCAACATCAATATGTATCTGTGAATGTCACTTACTTAATGGCTGCCAGGAGGTCTTGTTGTTGGCTCAATATGTGCTGCAGAAAAGCCTTCTCAAACTTGGTGATCTTGCTGGGCTCCATTTTGTCCAAGTATCCCCTCACACCAGCATAGATGACAGTAACCTGTTCTTCAATAGCCATGGGAGCTGAAAGGTCGAAGGGTAAAAGTGAGGTGGGCTTCATATTTTGAAGGAGCCTCTCATTTCTCATTTAAATCAAACAAATTTAAAAAAAACGCTCACCGTACTGGCCCTGCTTCAGGAGCTCAGTCAGACGAACGCCACGGTTCAG